GTTCAAACCTGTTCACACTAACACTAAATACACTTCACAGCAGTAATGAACACCTCCAATCAAAGGACTGTTGCACAAATCAAGACCTAGAAATGAATCAAAGAGCAATTCACTGTTCCATCAACCAGCCAGCAGAGGGAGCAACAACACCACAAAATGAAAACTGAAAACAGCTTTTGAGAGTGAGTGTATTTTCGCTAATGCAGAATTTCCACTCTCTGATAGCAGATGTGGATGAAATCAGTGCCCAGAGATTAATATAACTCTAACAAGATATGTCTTAATTACTTGTAACCAATTCTGCCCTCAAGAAGGGACAACCCAAGCTTCATGAACTCACGCATATTGACACCTAAACCCAAAAAACATCCCTTGATTCTCTGAGAGCTCACCTACTCATCATTCATGCCATAATTTCAAGCAACCCCCCAAAAAGTGGGATTTATAAAATGAACTGTTGCTCACCCTTGGCGCTGGAGGGTGCGTGGGGAAGATGTGGTCGCATCATAACTGTGCTGCTTATCGCTGGAGAGGGGCTGCTGGGATGTGGGCTGGGGGTGAGATGCCTGCTTTGCTGATGGCGTGCTTACCTAAAACAACAAGACAAACAGCACATCATTTCACTGAAACAGACTACTGATATACACAATGGCTTAATCTGAAGCATGTCCGTCTATCTCACAAACAATACATGAAACAAACTGACAGTGTCAATCAAGACTTTTCACACCTGTTAACATTCTTTGGAAAGCATTTCACGTTCATAATTGCAAACTATTGATTTTTCCCCCCCTCCTCTGCCCCTTTTTTTCCCCTTGGGAAATATTCAATATTCACTAAGCTGGGAGTTTTCAGTACCTGCCTACTATCCTACTATCTTACTTTTGGCTGTGTGATGACAGGCTGTGTGCTGAGGAGGGGCTTTAGAGGACCAGCGTTGGTCTGTGGTGTGCTGATCCTCGGAGACACATAGGACCTTGGCGATGAGGCGTCTGATGTTAATGACATTGGTGACTGGTTCGACTGCTGAGCTGCTAGACATAAACAAAACAACAAAGTTACTCTAGGGAATCAAAACAACTTCAAATACAACTTCTAAGTACCTCACAGGAAACACACAGGAAGCCGACGCAGTCATTTCACAGCACACATAAGAGACGACATAAGCATACAGCGGTGGTATAGAAACACTTGTGTATGGGTTTCATTTACCTTGGTTGGATAGTTGAGCAGCTTGAGAGAGGATAGTAGTGATATTGAAAGCTGACGGTCCAGCAGTGAGGATCTTATGAAGCATAGACTGTAATGAAGCTTGTGTGACGGCAGCTGTGAGAACTACAGAGAAAAGCAAATGGACACGCGGTTAGAACTGATGACACGAGTCCTGCTACAAGAATAAGTTTAGGTACTGCACTGCAGTAAGTCTGACAGTCAAAACTCAGATATGTCTCCTATAAACTGGTTTAGAAATTAGAAATAAAAGCAGAGCCTATCAGTTGTGTGTTTACAGAGATGTTTCTGGTGGGAATATGGTGGTGATCAGTGTTATTCAGCACAAGTGATCCTGTTCATTAACCGAGATCAACTCTATGCTGTGCAATATGACACAGTATGCACGTCCATGTCTGCTGCTTTGATTGTCAACGGCATCTCTGAATAGTGAAACCCACCTGTGAGAATATAAATGCAAGGACATAACAGGCCCTCATTTATCCCTTTTTTGTCTTAAAATATAGATATATATATAAATATTTTTCTCCTGTATGTTTGTAAATGAGATGTCACACATAAGGAGAGGGAAAAATCTTAAAACTTCAGACCCACACTGCTCTCTCATCATATATAGCTCATTCACATATATTTGTAACAGAAGGTAACAGGTAAATTTGATATACATACATATAAAGTACCTTAGCCCAAGTTATTATGCTGCTACAAATACACCCCACGCATAACCTGCTACCACAGACATTTAAATTATTGATCAAAAATTCTCTACACAACCTCAGAAACCACTGACATCAAGACCAGGAAGCACCTGACCATGCACGGAGGGTTTCACCCTAACTTCAGCACCCTGAGGCTGTATGCTAAGCTGAAGGAAGACTGGTGAGTGTCAGTACCACAGTCCAGGATGAGATAACGAACACCTACGAATACATCAGGAAGATGGCCCTAACTGACCGCGTGCTTAGTGAATACCTCAGGCAGCAGAAACCCGAGAGAGAGGGGCAATAGGAGAACCATCATGGAAGGACAGGCCCCTGCATGGTATGGATTACCAGCAAATAGATGAAGTGGCTGACATCCAGAAATCCTACCAATGCCTGGACAAAGCTGGACTGAAAGACAGCACAGAGGCAATAATCATGGCAGCATAGGAACAAGCTCTGAGCACAAGATCCATAGAGTCTGGGTCTACCACAACAGGCAAGACCCAAGGTGCCCCTGACACAATCCAGCACATAACAACATGGTACGCCATAACCAAGTGGATGGCTTAGAATATAGAAACATCTGTGCAGAGTATGGCCTGGAAGTCTGGAGGTCAAAATGGGAGACCACCCAATGAAAATGAGCTAAGCTAAGATCCTGTGGAACTTTCAGATACAGACGGACGAAATACTGATGGCTAACCAACCAGACGTAGTAGTGGTAGTCAAGCAGAGATGTCCATGGTGATAGACATAGCGATACTGAATGACAGCAACATCAGGAAGAAGAAACACAAGAAGCTGGAGAAGTACCAAGAGCTCAGAGAAGAGCTTGAGAGGATGTGGAGGGTGAAGGTAACAGTGGTCCCAGTGGTAATCTGAGCACTCAGTGCAGTGACACCCAAAGCGAGGCAAGTAGCTCCAGAAGATCCCAGGAACAACATCCGAGATCTCTGTTCAGAAGCGCGCAGTCCTAGGAACAGCAAAGGACCCTCAAGCTCCCGGGCCTCTGGTAGAGGACCCGAGCTTGAAGGATAAAGACCGCCCGCAGGTGTGAGAGGAGAATTTTCTTTTTAAATTGAAGTTCCCACTACTATGTCAGGGTTTACACCATGAGCTGGTACCACAGTGACTCACACTTCTAAACATTGAAACTTTCCATTATCTTCATCCCGACCCTGGAATCTTGGACTTGACAGAGTCTTCCAAACTGAAGCAGGATGACTTCTAAGGACATCTAGCAGCAGCCATCAGGTACATTACAACACATTCTAGACTTAGAAAAGTCTGTGCTGTCGTTCCCATTTTACAATTAATGCATCTCATACCACTCTGACAGCTGAATCTGTCCTTTCAGTGTCACATGGTCAGATACCATGTTCTCATCTAGCAAACTCTTGCTGTGAGGCATTCTTCATCCAGACATCAGCTATGCAAACAGAACCACGCCGATGATGTCGAGTTAGGACTCTAGTGTGCTCAGACTAACAGGACAGATTATGTCAAAGCTGCTAACAACGGTGTCAGAACAAAAGCTGATAACAGTAGTTAATAATTTCAGTGCCTTCTTGTAACCAGTGGCCATCAATCACCGTCTCTGCTGCAAGCTGAATGTAGAAGTTGAATATGTCAAGTGGCTCTTAAATCTATTTCTTCTTACCTTCGTTGATTTTTGCCATGTCCACACTGGCGTTGTTGAGCTGCAGGGCAGTCTGAAGTGCTGGGAGAAGCTGTCGAAGCAGGGTGGGGTCCTGGAGGAGCGGAGGAGCTGGGGATTGAAGGACTGGAGACACGGGTACAGTAGACGCCGATGATCCAGGTGGGCCTGATGATGGATTCAAGCTCCCAGAGCCAGATGACGACTGAGACTGGGTGGCAAGTGCTGCTGCAGGCTTTTCCACCTGGGCCGACTCTGTGGAGCAAAAAGATAAAGATGCAGTGTCATCAAAGGTGGAAGTCTGAAATCCATTTCCTCCAATAATTTATGGTCCAACATAAAACACAAAACCTTAAAACAACAACAACATTCATCTGAAAAAGCCGTGTCCAGGAACTATCGTTCACGTTCCAGCACAGGGTGATATGCCAATAAGTGCAAACAAGCCTCTGTGATTGCTTCAACATTTAACACATCCCTGCAAGTGAGACACCTGGTCATTATTATCAGGATGTCCAAAAAACTCACTGAAAAGCCTTCAGCTAATCCAAAATGCTGCAGCAAGAGTACTGACAGGGACTAGAAAGAGAGAGC